ATCATGCAGGTCATCGATACGGTCCTAACCATGCTGCCATGGCATCCAAGCTTCAGGAAATGGACCGTGTTATTCGCGATATCATTGCTGCGCTCGATGATGAGACTCTTCTGGTCGTTATGGGAGATCATGGGATGGACATCAAGGGCGACCACGGCGGCGAGTCTGACGATGAGGTTGAGGCCGCGCTGTGGATGTACTCCAAGCGTGGTATCTTCGGACGCACATGCAAAGATACGCTCCTTCCGCCGCAATTCGCGCGCGACAGGTTCGTGCCTCAGATCGACCTCGTTCCGACGCTGTCTTTGCTCCTTGGAATGCCCATCCCATTCAATAACCTAGGCTCACCTATTGAAGAGGCTTTCTCTGGCGCACGTGGGAACAACTGGGAAAACCTGGCGACTGTCAACCGGTTGGCTGCAGCCCAGGTCAAGAGATATCAGCACCAATATGCGCTTGCTAGGGGTGCTGGTGATGATGAAGAGTCGGCTTTGCTTTGGTCTGCTGCAGAAGAGGAGTGGAAGTCTGCGTCTAAGGGATTCTCATCCAAGTCGACCGCTGCTCGCGCTAGCAATGAACTCTTCCGCAAGTACCAGCGTCACACTCTCGATATCTGCCGTGGATTGTGGGCTCGGTTCGATGTGCCAAGCATGATTCAAGGTGTCGTGATTCTCTTTGCTAGTATTATCTTGTTGGTCATCTATGCCCGAGGCTTGAAGACAGATCGAACCCAACTCACCTCTGGTCTGCTTCGATTTGCAAGCGTGGGTGCTGGTGTTGGTGCCGTGGCTGGTTATGCATTGAGCTTGACTGGCCTGACGGAGATGTCTCTGGTCGATGGAGCCGTGCTGCTGGCTGCTGCTGGAAGCATCCTTGGAGCCACGCCGGCTATCATCAAGAAGCCTGCGAACATGACCCTGCCTCTTCCGAACGGCATGTGGGGATGGCTTGCGCTTTTATTTACCGTTTCTCAGTCTATTGGTTTTGCCTCGAACTCGTACACTATCTGGGAAGATGAAATTCTTCTGTTCTTCCTCACTACATTCGGCGTGTGCGCGGGTGTCTCGTCCATGCGACAGAAGCAGACCACGGACCGCATCTTAGGTGTATACCACTCCATTCTCTTCGTGATCCTAGGCCGAATCGCGTCTTTCTCCCGTCTCTGCCGTGAAGAACAGATGCCCTTCTGCCGGTCCACGTACTATGCTTCATCGACTTCTTCGACCTCCGCCCCCTGGCAGCTTGCCATTCCTTTCCTGGTCACCCTCTTCCTGCCCAGCGTCGTGCGGTCTTTCTATGCCGGCTCCAAGTCCTATGAAGGCGCGGCATCTCTATGGATCGGCTTTGCCTTCCGCTTCGGTCTTTTCGTCACCTCCCTATTCTGGATCCTCGAAGGCGCCGACGACGGCGAGTGGCTACCCGTAAGCGAGGAAACCCTCAAGTTCGTCCGTGTCTTCCTGGCCCAGTTCGTCCTCGTCCTCGCGTTCGCAGCAGGCACTGCAGCATACTTCTACTGCGAGCCCTGCATCAGCGTCAACGTGAGCAAACCCGCCGAAGATACCACCAGCCCACCGGCCCCCGTAGTCGCCGGCCAGCAACAAGGCCCACGAACAAAAGTCACAATCCTCGGCTTCGGCAACATCTATGGAACCCACTTCTGCTTCCTACTCATCAACTTCGCCCTCGCCATCATCCTCATGCAGAAGCCAATGGGCCAAGGCGCCATCGCCCTTCTCCTCTGGCAAATACTTTCTCTCCTCGAAATCCTCGACACAAACAGCCTAACCATGTCAAACTCCTCCATCGGCCCCGTCATCCTCGGCGTCCTCGGTTCTTTCTACTATTTCAAAACAGGCCACCAGGCTACCCTCTCTAGCATCCAGTGGGAAACAGCCTTCATCCCTCTCACAACAATCCAATACCCCTGGTCTCCACTACTCGTCATCCTGAATACTTTCGGCGCCCAGATCCTGGCTGCCATCGCTGTGCCCCTCACCGTCCTCTGGAAACGACCCCTCCAGACTCACGACCGTGTCCCCGCTTCCAACCCAAACAAGAACCCCGCCACACGCATCCTCTCCGATGTTGTACAGGCCGCTGGGACGCATATCATCTACTTGGCGACTATTAATTTTGCCACGACTATGTGGGCCGGCCATCTCCGCCGTCATCTCATGCTCTACCGCATCTTCAGCCCTCGCTTCATGATGGGCTCGGTGGTGCTGGCTGTTGTGGATGTCGTCTTGATGGTCTTCGCTGTCGGCGGTGTGCGCTGGAGTACTCTCAGTGTTGCTGAGATCTTTGGTTGGTGATGCTGAGGTTTTGAAAAGGAATCATGGCCTGGGGAATACGCGTCTCAATCTCAGGTTGAACACAGAAAATGCATGCTTGGAAATGTGCAGATCTCTCTTTCCATCGTCAAATCACCACATCCTTCTTTTCCTCCGGCTACAGCCCTGTACACAACAGAACCTTCGCATCTTTCCCTTTCTCTGCATCGCCTCGCTTTCACATTTGTACATGTGCTCTGTGTCACATTTCCCTTCTTTCTCTTTCATATCTCTTTTTGGTTCGACTATATAGTATAATGGTGACCACGGTCTACTAAATAACAAGCCACACATCAAGTACACACAAAACACCCACGCCATCCCGGTTTCAGGGTAGGCGGGTACACTACATATGTATACACATGAGCACATGAGCAGCGGGAGCTAAGAATAGCTTAATAGATCCGATGTTTTCAAAGGCACTGGAGAAGACCTCTTCGTTATATCATGTCCTTATACGGAACCATGTACGGCATCGATGCTCAATGACAGCCACGCGCTTAACGTGCATAGCATGAGGCCGTGAAATACCTCGAGAATCAAGTTCATTTCATTATAAGGACGCTCAAACAAACGGTGTAGTTAAATAGGCCACGGATGCCTTGCTACCTGACAAATTCGGCAACTCGGCATCGCTTTCCAACTAGTTACATGTATCTGACTAGGTTGTACTTGTATTTGAAAACTTTTCACTTGTCTTTTTCCCTTGGGAGGTTTTCGATTCCGGTTAAAGTTTTACTACACTCTGCTTTACTGCCAATTTCGCGAGAATGTCGTTTGGTCTGTCAATTGGGGATATCATATTTTGCAGGCAGATCACCTATCGACTCTTCGCTGCCGCAACATCTGGCCGGAAGAATGCACCGCGTGGCCTCAAAGAACTCGAAGATATTTTGTTTGGCTTGCATTGTTCTTTGAGCCATCTGAAAGAACTTACAATACGTGTTGTCGAGATCATACTGTGACACTGGCGAGATTCAAGGGCAACTAGGGTTCATGATCCGCTCGTGTCGCCAAACGTTGGAAAAACTCGAAAAAGCAACAGCAAAATACGAAGCAGTGGAAAAGCCTGTTTTAACGCAGAGTTATAAAGGTCACAAATTCTAGCAACAATTCACCGAGGTCAAGATTCAATGGCGGAGGTTTATATGGGATCTCAGAGGGGAGTCGTTGAGGAAGCTTGAATCGCATACCGATGGGATCAATCTTTCTCTTGAGTACGTTCATATCGTATGTCATCAACCATTGTTTTGATCGCATCGAGGAGGATGGCAGACGTCAAGAGCAGAGGATGGAAGAATTGCTGCGCCAAGTATCACATTTCAACGCATTGTTCCATCTGACGCAGAACATCTACCCTCTAATATCACCTCATCGCTCATCCACACTTCCTGAAACAATGCGTTATCAATGTTCGAGTCTGCTCCATCGCGGCCAAAATTCAGAATGCAACATGCGTAAAGCACATATTATGCAGTTAACCAGCAGCATCATCCACGATAATAGGACTTTTCTCCTTGGCTAGCTGCACAAGGGTTTATCTTGAGCGCGACAATTACGAATTGAAAGCACGATGTACATAAGGATCTTCTGTGGGAAATACCATTTCTCGTGTTAGATCGACAGTAACTACATATGTAGAATCTGCTTTGTCTGTTACTTCCGTGACTAGAAAAAAAAATTTCGCTTCAGCTTCTATTTTGCTCGGTGCCACCAACAACTATTCGCTTCATGTTCGCCACGACTTTCGCTGGCTTGATGCTCCGTAATACGTGGGCGCTGATATCGTCTGCATAGGTAGGCAGAGATTCATAGATTTTATCTAGAACAGCTCGAGCCGGCAGAGGCTCGATAAGCTGTGCGCACATGTAGGCAATGGTGTAATTACGGGCATATCGCCATGCTCAAAGATCATTTGTTACTTTAGCGAGTGACATAAACCCGTCTCAGCTTGTTCGTCCGTCCATCTGGGGAACAACTCCATTTGCCATCACCCGAAGAGGCACAACTTGGGCTGTAAATATCTGTGGTAGATATTGGCGGATACGAGGCACGAGGTGGAAAGTCTCGATGTGTGACACTCTCTACTGACCTTCTTGGAGAGATCGAAGAGACGAATCAGGATATGTAAACTCTGTATATGGATAGCTAAAAAGAAGGGAAGAGGAAAGGAGGAGGAAGAAGAAGAAGAAGAAGAAATGGAAGGAGCGAGTGATCGAAGGCTTAGCACGGAGTTACGTGACGTGGAACACCCGTGGACTTTCGAAAACGGGAAGGATAAGAACTTAACTTGTATCTCCTACGCATTTGATTGCATAGCTTTCTAGTTGCAAGACATGTAAATGCTTGTTTTGTGCTACTAATGAACAAGATTTTGTGGTTGGGGTATGGCATACCCCGGTCTGATATAGCCCTGAACAGGTCAGTGACAAAATAAGTCGGCATTGTTTTTCATAGTACTATTCTTTTTTTTTATCCTTTACCTTATATCACGAAGTAAAAGATATGCGAGGCTCTGATCTTTTTGGATGAGAAATACTACTTGCAATTTAAATTTAGTCTAATCATACGACGTAAAGATATTTCCGCATGAACCGAACCCTACTACATTAAAACGCATCTTATATCGGCATACGAGACATATGTACAATCCAATATCAGGCAGATAATCTACAGGAAAAGAAACCCGGAGACAATCGCAAGGAAAGACATGAATCCCAAACCACCAGCGGTCAAGTTCGAAGCCGTATTGAAAACCGGAAATGCAGAGGGTGAACTGGGATGAGAAGAAACCAAGCTGGAGCTGGACGGTGTGCCTGTGAGAGAAGCAGTGATAGGGCTTCCACTAGATTCAGGACTATTAGATATAGCGAGAACAGACGAACAGGATATGAAGACCGACCTAGAAGCTGAAGTCGTCTTTGAGGGAGTTGGGGAAGTCGAGTTAGTAGAACCAGTGGACTTGATACTCTCATAAGAGCCGGTTTGGTCAGACCAGGTGTAAGACTCGGCCGGGTTGTAGTTGACGATAGTGACGTCCTTGATATACATGGTGAAGGGTGACTTGCTGTAATCTGTTGCGCCACCGGCCCATTGGATCGTGCCCTCCGCATTACTTGGGTCGCCGCCGGCCCAAATGCCGATGCGCACGTTCATGGGTGTCTGTGGATATCTGGTGCCGGATTGCGCGTCGTTGAAGGATAGCGTGCGGATAACTTCCCCGTCGACAGACCAGGTGGTGCCTTCTTTGGTCCAGACGACCTTGTAGGTGTGGAATGTCTCTTGTGGTGTCGAGACAGGCTCCCAGATTGCCCGATCGTATGTTGTGGTATCTCCTTTTCCGAAGTAGTTTGTTTCGATTTGGGTCGTATCGCCACCCACGGCTTCCTGAGATAGATACTGAGATTAGATATATAAGACATAGGAGAGAATGGGCTTATATTGACTTGCCCAGTCAATCTCGTCAAGATCATCCGACTCAAGCACGATACTGCTGACGATGCCAGTGCCTGGGGCCGCTTTCATGGTGACCGATACTTCGCCGAAGAAGATGTAGAAGCCAGTTTGAATGGTGGGAGCATCGCCTTGCTTGTTGACAGTAAACTCGGCGCCGCTTGAGCCCGTCTTGACGTTGCCGGAAGTAGTAGTCCACTGATCTAGACTCGAGCTCTTGGTGAAGTCGAAGGTCTGTCTCGACTCGGTTGTGCCAATATTGGCCGGGCAAGTTTCTATCGCGTGTCAGAAGTTGCTGTCTTTCGAATTCTAGTGTGAGATACTCTTCATTGGATTGCAGTCGCTGAATGTTTGACCTGAGACTAGAGTCGCTGCGGTCAAGCCTGCAACGGCATACTTCAAGTAGCACAGCATTTGAGATATTGGATCGATAGAAAGATGGAAATATTTAAATCAGAAATAAAGAGAACGGACAAAGGAAAGAGTCGAAGTCAACAATCAAGAGTAGTGACAGGCAGTTCTCAGAAAAGACACTATGATAGACCTAAAGGGAAAGGAGTGGGAATTGGGAGTGTTTTAATAGGATAACTATCTATTCCTTGAGACATGTACTTTGGTGCCGGTTATTTATAGTCGGGGATAAACGCCCGACGCAACTCGGCTGTGTATTTTCTCTCCAATTTCATGAGTCGGGGCCATGAATAAATCAACATTGTTTCCACCTAGACGATATTCAGAGTCTAATAGGCTCCAATTGGTTCGGCCTCGTAGGTTTATTGCGTGGAATTTCGCTGTGTGGGTGGGTGTAAGCAGGCTACCTATGCCTACCCATTCACTTCAGCCCTATATTGATTTTTACGGAAACATAAAAACGACTATCTTATTCCAATTAGTTAACTCCTAAATAGATACATATACATTACATTCCAAGAAGAACCTATGCGCGAGGTACTTGAGACCGTACAAAAGCAAATCAGATGCTAGGACCATTTCCAAAATCAGGAAAACGATCGCTAAAGGGCGTAAACATCTCATTCTCCGGAAAAGTAGACAGCATCCCAGAGAAATCCTCCACTCCAGCCAGTAGAGATGGGGAAAAAGGAGGAATGGCGTCAGCCGTCGAAGATAGAAATAGGCTGTCAGGCATCCAATGTTGCAATGTATTCGAGTGAGACTGTACGGGCTGTACTTGGTGATCTTGAGTTACCACCATTGCGTTTGGTTGGTCGCGGAAGACTCCTCCAGCCAGAGATAAAAAGTGGCGGAAGATCGTTCGCACTTGAATAATTGGACGGCCTGTCGTTTCAATACGTGTCAGGCAATCCGCAATTGTTGTCATGAGTTTGAAGTCATCAGTATCTGATGTCGCGACGACATTGCAGAATAACACGAAGTATGCGGTACTAGGGTAGACGAGCAGTGTCCTGGGGATCTAGTCAGAGTTCATTCCAATTTTCATTTGCAGATATAGCTTACCAGTGCAACAAGGCCACCGTACTTTGCCTTTCGGCTGACATACATATCGACACCAGTGAAGATATGCCATGGCGGGCTTCTAGCAGACACTGTTTCCATATATTAACAGACTGGTTTCCTGCACCCTCAATGATATGGAAGATGGTGGTCATAACCGAATGATAGGCGAATTGAAGAGCTGATATTTCAGATTGAGCATCTAGGCCTTTCCAGGCCGGATATGGGCCCGATATCTAAGTGATAAGTCAGTGATGCAAGTAAAACTGGGTCCAAGTGGTCTGCTCACTCGCTCAATCCTCTCCTGAATTCGTTGCATATTCACCAACCAATGTTTCCCGATTCCATGTGAAGATGATAAACCATCTGGCAGCATTGACGAGCGCCCCCTGAGGTACGGCACGACAGCAGCCTGTACTCCAGCAAGATTCATGTAAATTTGAAAGAGGTCTGACGTGTAGTGCTGATGGCTGGATAGCAGAGAAGTGAAGTGTCCAATTTCAATATCGAGTAAAGTTTCGAATCTTCCCATCTTGAAAGCAAAATTCTTATCAAGAACATAGCACCAAGCGACACAGTAATACTCTTCTTCACTCACAGCACCTCCTGTCTTCATGATAGTATCAAGACCCAGACTTATACACACCCTGCAGGCAGCTTTGGTAAGCTCCCAGCATGTAGTGATGTCACCGGATCCTTGGTAGAGGAATATCTGATTTTGATTAGATCTGATACATTCTTTCTGGGATTGGAAATACTCACACCAGAAAGAACCGCCTGTAAGAGTCCGAGCGAAGGACTTGTTAAGAGAGAAATGCTTCGAAGAGCTACTTTTGCTGCGGCCTGGAATTGCACTACGCTATGTGTCATTTCATGGATCAGTTCACTATCAATTCCAGTGTTGGTGATGGTAGTCAGAAACTTGGAGGCCACGGCATTGACACAAACAGTGCTGATGAGCAAGTCGTGAGGCAAGCCAGTCCTATGAAGCAAAGTGAGTCCCATTTGCTTTAGTGTCGCTTCAGATATGTGCCTGAAATAATCCCTAACACATGGGCCGAAGCTTGCCTCCTTGATGTCTATTGAAGGTCAGAACTAGCCAGTCTTATTGGTCGAGCACCAAGTAATAAGAGAGGTACCTTTTAACATCCAGGCTAGTAATTCAAAAGAAGGGGTTCTTATTTGTTCTTCGACGGCGATGTCACTAACAACGTGCACCGGGTCCTCAAAGCTCTCTGAGAGTTGAGAAGCCAGCCTCAACCCCGATTCCAAGATCTGGCAGCGATTGATGGTGAGCCATTCCAGATGGTCTAGGTGATATTGAATGGTGGCATGAGCATCGTGAAGCAAGAGAGGCTTATCGAGAGATGCCCCGCGAGACTGTTCAGAGTCAAACCCGGAATATCTGGTTGCAGAATAGTCGTGTAGTCCCGATAATGAAATTTGCGGAACTTGGGGCTTTGGGGCTGCTTGGGGTGATTTTGGACATATTTGATCTCTGTTTCCTATCACCGCCAGCTGAGTGGTGTTTCTGGCTCGCTTGGTGGCTCGCAGACGAGCGCATATGGTATTGTTATCCTGGCAGTTACCACATGGGTTGCCTCTGTCACAACGGACCTATTTTTGGTTAGTACAACTTCTCATACGATCTTATAATGAAGCTCAGTTCACACCTTTCGAGAGTAGCATGAATCACACTGGGCCAGGATTTGAAGCCATTAGCATTATTCGAATTGTACCAATTATAAGGGGCGCTTACCACTGAAATAGGTTTAGAATGATTCTTAAGTACTGGCCTTGATGACATTCTGGAAGGCGAGATAGATAGGATATTGAGGGAGTATGGGCGATGAAGAAAAATGTGCCATTCTGTACTCTTAAGCTAAGGGATATATATTGAAGCGCAAACCTCTAAACAATTCCTATATTCCTATAGACTGCTATCGAGCTTGATATGGTCCCACTTTGCTTCTTTATGGGGCTCTAAGGGGGCTCTGCTGTTGAAGGCATGTTTTGGTTGGACAACGCTGATCTCATCTGATCTTTATCTCTGGTTTAAACTAATTTGTTCCTATTTTTATAAATTTTATACCTTTGTACCTGTGCTAAGCCCCTGACAGTTTCGCGTGTGTCCGTCTTGGCACGGGTATATATACAGCCCTGTGCTCCGAGCTCCGTGGCCCCTATTATTAGCTATCCCGGATGTTTCTCGGCTTTTGCAGAAACTGTAAGGCAACGTTCATATAATGTATATTCTAAACGGTCGAGGGCTTTATACCAGGACTATGCCATGGGTTGTTCACGATGTGACTATAGTACACAATGAATACCATACAGAACATTGTGGAATCCTCAATTCCAATAAATATCTCACAAGAAAAGGAACCCACTTGTGGACTATGAACTATTGTTTTCACAGCAGAAAAGCCGTTGATTCGAGATGAAGAGCGAGGATTTCACTTGCTCAACCCTGTCCCGATCGACATCAGGTTTCTGCAGCCCCATAAAATCCGATTTGACCGTCTATAATTAATCGGTATAAGCATATTCTATACCAAATGAAGCAACGCACCGCAGATCTCGGGTATAGATACTCCCCAAGAAATAGGTATAAGTATGCCCGGCTCTTGGATTGATACATCGCAACAGACAAGTCTCTTCCAACAATCTTCAACAATCATCAACTTTCAAATCCTCCACCATCATGCGTTTCACCATCCTCACTGCTCTCGCCTTTGTTGCCATTTCCATGGCTACCTTGGTATCAACCCTTTCATACCTATCATATGCCGTTCGACTTATCTAATTCAATAATAGATCCCTTCCGGAGGAAAGTGCAAGCAAGATGGAAGCTTGGGCAACTGTGAATCTAAGCTCTGCGTGGTATGGCCCTGAATACAGCATTTTGCGAAAGCCAGAAGATGCTAATTTCATGCTACAACAGCAACTGGCTGATCAGCCGTATGGAAAGTGCAAATAAGCCTGCATGTGGAGAAAGGTATGTTCATAGTGCACAGGATCAACTGGACTGATTACAGACGACGCGGAGCCACTTCCCCTCATATCGTACGGCTAGGATAGAGAAACACCGTTTGTTTCCACAATCAACCGATGTAGAACATGTTTTAATAGGCTGTAGCCATGTTATTCACTATTCTCTTGACTGCTGTCTAATAAATAAATGGGCAGCACCAGAATAAGCTTGTAGTATCTGCATTGCCTTTGGACCTTGAGTTAGCGTTAGTCGGTTCTAGTGCAGCAAATCGAAAGATCGATAACAAGTGTAAAGAGGTTTAACTGGAGGTGAGAGAAGGAAGAAACTCTGTTTGGGAGTTTGAGGAAGACGGCTAGGTCTACTCGACGTTAGTGGTGAGCTGAGCTGAAACAAGGTCTGGGTTAAGATCGGTGAAAAAAGAAGGCATCATCATGTCAAGTCTAGTATAAAACACTGATTTATTCACTAAGTAAAACCCTAATCCTAATCGCGACAGCGCTGACAGGCAAGAAACAGTGAAAAGAAAAACTTTTGGAGGGGTATTCACAAATGCGACAATTGTCTTGCATCACGGAAAAAGCACAAGATGATGTACATGAAGTCGTTTCTAGGGGTCATTGGTCATCGAGAGGGGAAAGATTCGGTTGTTTCTCGTTAGGGGGAGAGATGGTGTAAGATAAGGAGAGAATGGATGGAAGGAAGTGAGAGGAGAGGGTGTCTTGTAGATATGGGCAGTAAAAAGAGAAGAGGATAGACACAGAGGTCATATCACCCTGGATGTCATCGTCAAGATTCTCAGCAAGGAAGACAGACGGATCAGCGGGCCCAGCGTGAGAAATCCAAATTCTGGAGAATGTTCGTGTCTGCCGCTGCATTCCATTCCGCAGCAAAATCCGTCTGTACTTGAGGTGCACGAGAGGGTAGTTCTTCCGAGAAGATATTGGGTTTGGTATTCCGCCGCAGACCTGGATAAGTCCCTTCGGCGGCCTCAGAGCCTTGGCTTTGGGCTTTCAGAGCCCGCTCGCGGACTTTCTTGATTTCTCGCAGACGGGTAGTCCAGGACGAGGTATGTTCGCCACCCTTGTTGCTCCAGACAAGCGAGAAGACGGACGCATTGAGGGCAAGAATGCGAACAAAGGCTGCCAAGTTCTTGCCGGAGATGACCTTTGGTGTCGCAGCGGGTGAGACGTCTGGGAAGCCGGGCTTGCTCATAACCTGCACGCTGTAGTAGAGCTTCTGGGGATCTGTCTCAACCCTGGTATTGCCACTTCCGTCGTAGGCAATCCGACATGACGGGGTGATGACAATGTTGACAGAGTTGAATTCGGATGGAATTGTGTCAAAGTTGAAAGGCAAGTTTGATCGGTTGAACACGATGGTGACGTGATTATTGCCAAGGTTTCGTTTCTTGTTGACGCAGGCCGGGTCACGGTCAAAGTCCGTAGGCATCATCGTTGCAACATGATACACAATTTCAGTCACACGATCCCGCCAAGCGTAGGTGTATTCTCCATCAGTATCGGCATATAAACCTTGCGGATTGAATTGGGGGCTCCGAAGGGACACTTTGGTTCCCAACCCTGCCAGCAGGTTTTCATAATCCGCAGAACCACCAGTGTTGGCCAAAATATCCGCCTCCTTTGTCTGGCCATTGTCAATATAAACAACGCCGATCCGGTGACCATCCACAATGTCGGTGCGATCAAAGTTACTAATCGCACGTCGAGTGATATCGTCTTCCGGAACCGGGATGGGTTGCATGACTGTAGGTGTCGGGAAGGCAGTGGCAGTCAATTGAAGCATGATATGACTCGGAAGAACTGCCGTGCGCATAGAGTCGGAATGTAAATGGGCATCTGGAGTTGGGGGAACTTGATGCGGCAGAACTGGGGCCGTCCGCTGTTGATAGACAGAGTATGTAGTACCTGATGCCTGGCGCTTCGTAATCTGAGACAATCCAGATAATCCGGCGCTCTCGACGGTGACGATACTCATTCCGACAATCCAGGACTTCTTTGCGACTGGGCCATCCTCAGGGGAAGGGGGAAAGCTTTCGAAGGGGATGGTCTCTCCGAGATCCGAATAAGCGACTCGCTGCATCAAATCAATGAATACTTGGCTTTGTTCTTCTACCACCTCTTTTCCATGTTCGTCGTGATATATGAGTCTGCTGGTGATCCAATTCACATGTTTGGGTCGATCCTGGAGTTTCAAGGACAAGAACCAGAAGACCATGACATGGTAGGTGAGATTCGAGATATACTTTGACATTCCATCTTGAGAGGTTTCGACAGCCTCAGCTGCATGGGCGGCAATTTCCTTTACCCCGGCACTGAGCCTAGACTGAGGAGGCTGGGCTGACAGAGAGACCCTTGCAGCCAATTCAGAGGCTCTGTACCGATGCTCTCGAGAGGTCTGCAAAAATCGAATGCAGATGCCAAAGACAGTGCGGATCTCTTCCTCACGCAAGTTGACGTAAACATCGGGCAATCGTGCAAGTAGGGCTAGGAGCTCCAAAATATGGACAGCAATGTTTGACATGGTGATCACCTTTGACATCCTATCAAGAATGCTGTTCAATGATTTCGTGACTGACATTGGGATTTCATAGCAACAGAGTGACAGTGCTTGAATGCACCCACGAGACGTGCCGCCCCATGACCCGATGATACCCTGCATGAAAGCTCGGACGAGATCGTCCTCTTCACTCTTGGCAAAGTGTTCGTGGTAGCTGACAAGCATGCAAAGCGCATCGAAGATGCAGGCAGCCACATCGCTCTTTTTTAATCCAGTTGTCTCAGGAGGCTCGTGGAAGGTTCCATTCTTGACCTGATCACATAGAATGCTGCGAAGGAGCGTGATCTGAGGTATAGCATCTCTGAAAAAGTCTTTGTTACCAAGCTGAGGTCCGATATGAGTAAGAATGTAGCTGTAAACATCCCAGTCAACTTCCCGTTGCAACAAGGTGATCACAACTTCAAGCCACATCTTGACCTTCAACACCCCCGTTGTTCTTGTTACTGTTATTTCTGATTCGGCGGGGGTAGATTCCTCCGGGTTGGTGTAAGCAAATACGACAGGACTAGATTCCCCGGGTGGTTGCTCGGGAAGCACTTGTGGCAGAGCATATGTCCACACTGGGGCCGTCAGCTTTGATCCACGGGCAGAGATAGAGCCGCGTCCTGGGGCCGACTTCGACACTGGGGTTGAAGTAGACTCTCTCATTGGAATCTTTCCGGTTGGTGAGACTGGTGAGTTATCTTGCTGAGGAATCTCGCGGGTGGGGCTATCGCTGGGGCCCTGTAATTTAGAGCCGCCGTCGAGATTGCGACCCAGCACGTTCATCAAGAAGTCACTTTCCGATGTTGATATGACTGTGACTGACCCAGCCGAGTCACACCGTAGTCGGAAAAGTAGCTTTAAGACCGTCAAACGAGAGTCTATTGGTCGACTTGGAGACTGAGCAATGTCTAGAAGTGCCTCGAAAACCATCACAGCTTTGGTTGAGGAGAGGTTCAAGGCACGAAGCATCATCTTCACGAGGCCAACAGCACAGACGTTTGTCAAGCTTAACTCCAAGACACTAGTGGTGGATGTACGTCGTTGAGATCCATGGCTCGGAGGATGCTCGCGCGGTTCGTCTCGATTGAGTTCCGCCTGCATCGGCGCCCCAATGGTGTTTACCAGCAACTTG